CATGAAACAAACCATTTATATTACTATAAATATGAAGTTAATAAAAGAATCACAGTTCAAAGCTTGAAGTCTGTGACTGGTATACAATTCAAAGAACCAAAATGAAAGATGTCAGTTGTTATCCAATAGAATTTAAGAAACTATCATCTAATTAAAAGGAATGTAGAGTGAGTTGAAGATGTAATCATTAAAATAGACGATCTAGACAAAACAGGTAAGATTAAGTACATAGATAAACTCATTGTTCATTCCAAATACATTCATTCCAGCAAGATTATTATATATGTTATATAACAATCATTATTTCTCAGTTTCTTCTATAAACAGAACAGTTGAGAGGAAAAGTTGAGAACCTTTCTCCTGTCTGAGGAGGCCAGTAGTGATTTCTATCCCTATAAATTAATGTTATTTTCATTGTCAAGCAATAAAATATTTAAGACTGCTATTTATTAATAAAAAAACATTTGTTCAAAGAAAAGAAAAAAAGCAAAAAAGGCAAAAGAGCCCACTAAGAGGCAAAAGAAACTTCCTATACCTAGGGTGACCAGTCAAAGTAGGACATTTGAAGTTTTATAACGCTTCCCAGTAGGACATTTCACAACACAGCTTAAAATAAAAATCAGTAGTAAAAAAAGCACAAAACACTAAAAATTGATAAGTAAATAATTTTAAATTGATATACTACTCTTGTTGTTTTAAATACTACTCTTTGTTGCAATTGTACCCATTATTTAATATAANGCTATTAATTCTTTTAGTTAAGATATGTAATAATTTTTAAAAAATTATTTTAATTTTCTGAATATACTATAAAGAGAAAAGGCTTGAAAGTGGATAGGAAAATCTAATTATACAGTTGAACTTCGTTAACTCAAATCTCTCCCTAAAGCTCCTTTATGATTTCCGTGTAATTTTTGTCATTTGACTCAATATGACACAAAAAGAACACAACAAACAACAAATTCAAATCAGTTTAAACATGAAGCTTGAAAATTGATCCAATGAATGTTAAGATCATAGACCAGCGGTCGGCAACCCAAATGCATTGGTATGCCACAAAACATGTAATTGAATATACTGGACACTACGCGTGCCACCAAAATAAAATTATAAAATTTATTGCACATTAATACATTTTTATTTAACTATAAAATGCACACTATATAAAAATATTATAAAAAAATTACAATATTTAAACATTAGTGACTGTCTTGAAGTTCAATTTTAGAAGCTAACGCATCAATATTTGGTTCATAGTTTGAAGTTTTTAATTTTATGCACAACTGGCATGCCACTCAAAACTCTTTTGCATGTCGGCCACGCATGCGTGGCATAGGTTGCCGACCACTGTCATAGACCACCACACATTTATTTCTGTTCATTTAGTACCATTTGCCATTCTTATGTTTGTTAATTATCTTTTCAGCATATGAACAATTAATTAATTCAGTTTTCTATAAAGGAATATAAATTATATTTATAGTCCTTTAAAAGAATAAATACCTTGTCAATGGTACGACATCAGACGTAATTATCAAAGCAACTTTTGTCACAGAATGAAACAGGATTAAATCAAATTTTACTTTTGCCCTTATTTAACTCCCATAAACTCAATGTATTTTGTATCTCTAAATTTAAATAGTTTTAAGAATATTTAGATAAATTAATTAGAATCCCAGATGTCAAGTTATCTTGTTTAATAGCATGCATTTTCTGTCACAATTTCAAGAGGCCACTTTAAAATGGTTTAAATAGAATCAAACATAATTACAGTAGAGCGTCGTTTATCCAAATCAATTGGGGACTGCGGTTGTTCAGATAACTTATTTTTCAGATAACCAATTATGTATGAAAAAATATATTAATTTATCCCGTGTTGAAATTTTTCTCCGTTGCGTGTCGCTTCGCATAGAATTTTCGTCAATGTTAAGCCTAACAAAGACTATTGTATCGTTAAAAATTATTTTTTTATTTTGTACAAACAAAATATATATATTGAAAAATATAAAAACAAAAAAAATTATACTTTAGAAGTTAATCTAGTATCAAAAACATTTGATTTGGCATGACACAGTCTGACTGGAATGCTTTCGGTTAACCGACATTTCAGTTGATTGGCTTTTGGATAAACAACGCTTTACTGTACAACTAACCACATCAAAGTAAAAGGGTTAAACTTCAGTGTGTAACTCTCACTTGACCCATGTTTAACATGCGCTGAGCAAGCACTCAACTGTAAGCATTAACAATCACTTCATTCCCATTTGAAATTTGCAGTGTTGCCAGAATTCTTTATACCCACAGGTCTACTCTTGTCCCTTGGTGTAATTCTAAGATTTTTATTTTTTTCCCAAATGTATCATTTCATAAATGGGGTGTGGCCTATACATGCATGAATACAGTATTCGATAGCAATGATATGCTGATTTGAACTGACTTGATATTGAAAGATGCATGCCATTCCATATGTTTGCAAAAGCCATTTTGATATAATATCTCAAAATTCATATATGTATATCCTCCTACGTAAGGTTTTTTCAGTTACTGTTGGGTCCCAGTCGTTTTATGAATGGTAATGGTTATTGACAAAGAGTGCTAATTACAGATTTGTTTCAAGAGCTAGAATATATATATATATAAATATATTCAAACAAGTTGAATAATCTAATAATTGCAGGTGTTTGCTGTATTATTTTCACTTCTTCCAGTTATAGGTTTTTTTATATCCAATAACTGCCTATCATTCAGTCATGTTACATTGTTTAATCAGTAAGGAATTAGAATATTAGAGAGTTTGTCCATCCAAATTCCTGACTTGAAACTAATATACCTTATCTGAAGTATTTTAGGGAGATGTATTGATGTTTAGTTTCTCAGAACCTTTAGAAGGTTCTGAGAAACTAAACATCAATACATCAAAGTTCTATTGTGGGCTTGCTAAACTTGTTATGAATAGTAAATTAAAGTATTCTTAATTCCATCTAAGTGAAAGGAGTACAAAAAAGGTTCTCTCATTGAGAATGCCATTAAACTTTCTTTATTTCTCTAAAGTAAGAAGTCAAAATTTTAAATATTTATGCAGGTGGTGTAAGATGTCAGTTTTAGAAATTTAATGTTAAATTTTTTGATGTATTTTGCTCTAAGAAAGAATTGTTGAAATGATAACATTTTCAATAACTATTGAGAATAGAATTTCTTGCATATGTGTGTGATATCTTGTAATTATTAATATCATTTCACATTACTGTGAGAAGTAATCATATATAAACAACTGGGGTGAAAACTTAAGTCGTCTTAAGTCATTGCAGGAAGTGACTTGTATGGTTGTAGCTCTTAAATTAATTGGTCTGAAAGTGAAGATTGGATGAAGATTTGGTGTTATTCAGAATATTCTACCTTCATTTCTGATAATGCATCTTTACATCTAGAAATGTAACTGGTAATCTAACTGAATGGTAAGCAGTTCGAATATCACCACTGCAAATAAGGTGTTAGTGAATTTGCTATTTTTGTTTATTAAAATAAAAATATCTGTTGAGTAGAGAATCACACCTAAATACAAAATTTCCAGCAAAGAAATGCTTAACTTCAATGTTTGAATGTTTTCAGCCACTATTTTATCAGCCCTCTTCAGTTACAAATTCATCAATCATATTCCTTACTAAACTTACTAAGTTGGAAGGCCAAAAAATTGAGAAAGTAAAAGTTAGTTTGCTCTGAAGAATCTGGGATAAAATCTGAATCTATATTTCAGAAATTTTATGACTAGTTTTTCTTGTATATATTTGGACCTGTCCTTCACCATTCAGTAACCTCTATTGTGTACTTGGCTCTCCATACTCACAGGATGGAAGTGTTCAAAAGAATCTCTATATCAATGACATTAATCACAATTTAGAATTCATGCTGTTGTAATCATGATTGATTAAATTAAGGACTTATTAATAATGTTATGTTTAAATATCTTTAAATAAAAAGTATTTTATACTTTGAATTTTCCTATTTACATATTTTGACTTTCTATCTTACACTAAAATACATTAAAATAATGTTTCCTTAATTTTTTTAGGCAAGAAGAGCAGAAAAGAAATGTAATAAGTTGGCTTTTAAAGAAGAAAAGAAGAGACAAGAAAAAATTGCTCAGAACATTTTACATAATTTACAATCAGTAAAACTTGTATAAAAGAAATAAAATCTGTAAGTAATGCATAGATTTAATGTGACAACTTATCCTTTTTAAAACTGTGAAAAATTTAAATAGAAAGTAAAAAAAAAAAAATCAGTGTTTTCATCATTTAACTGACTAATGTGTTTTCTTGTAAGTATACTTTTGATTTTACCACATTTTACCAAAAATGCAGAAAAAAATTCACTTAAATTATCATTTTTTGTTTCTTCTGTATGAATGTAACAAATAAGCTATAAAATGTTTTAATAAAGAACAAATAAAATGTAGGTGAAATATGATTAAATTTTAAAATTAGGTTTTAAAATCCATTGTAAAAGCTTAAACTACACAACTGTCTAATTGGTGTGACAGAAAAAGATTTATTTCTCAAGTACCTTTGACAGTATATAGCTGTCCTCTTCAGACAATGTCATTCATAGGATACATTCGTAAAGTTGGAGTTAAATGAGAATGACGTCATCGTTATTCTTTTTTGATTGATTCGTTTATAACTAAATGGCTGTTCCTAAAATCTAAGATATGAATGTTGCTAGTACAGCCTTATCCGAAATATTTGATATTGATACTTTTAGTTTCACCTTCAGATTCATACAAACAAGGAACAAAATGTTTCAATATAGAACAAATTTAAATGTAGATTTTTAAGAACTTTTCTTCTGAAAGGTGTTAGATAGATTACTGGCATGACTATATTGTTAAAGGATAAGTATGAGATACAAAGGGCAAGCCACAACTAATTTGAGATGAGCATATATTTTAAATTGAAAAATTGCAGCCCGGCATTAAAAATTCTTTCTAGACTTTCTTTTTCTATAAGCTAAAAGTTTATTTTAAAGAAAGATTTTAGATAATGAAATTACAAAGTCAGTACCAGTCTTTGAATGATACAATACTTCCAGATGTGGAAGTCATTGAGAGAGATGTATTACTGTGCATAATTTTCAATAGATTTTAAATAATATATTTAAGTTGTAAAGTAATTTTGAGAACATTTTGAACATGAATTTCCTATTTTATTAATAAAACTGGTAACTTTGGTTTGTCAATAACTGAACTAAATTATGCATATTTACCTAAAAGAATTCAAGTATCTCTGAACATTTTAATGTTTAGTGTATAGATATAAATCAAATTATCCAAATATAATAAATGATTCAATATTTATTTCAATAAAATTTCTTACATTAAAAAAAATACTAATTCATAAAGTGTTTCAATGAGATAAATTGTTATAATACACAAATAATTACATGACTAGATAAACAACATCTTAAGTCTACCAGAACATCAAGGAACTGCTTCCAATTGAAACAGAACAAGTTTACTTTGTTAATAACAGAGCACAAAATATAAATATGAAACTAGTGATGCAAATATTTCAGAATTTTTATAACTTAACTACAAAACTACATTAAAACTTGGTAAATCTATGAGTAAAATTGCAACAATTCACATAAAATTATATATAATTTTTTGTACTTTAAAATATTTACAACTATCACATCATTTTGATATGTTTAATATAAAATATTCTTCAATACATTATGCTTGCTTATGTTCTGCAAGTTGTGTGTGTTTGCTTATTATATTCATCTGTAGGTTCCATGTAAATATTTTCAGTTTTGTTTGACATTTCCTCTTTATCCAATACATTCTTGTTATTTTCTGGAATGGAATCAGGCATTTCTATTATATTTTCTGCAATTTCTTCATAAATTGCTGAATTGCGTGTGGTGTCAATTGGCTCTGTATTGGGAGCCGGTGAGAGTCCATATTTGAAATAATAATGTTCTTCCATTAATGATGCTGCATGTTTGCTTCTAAAAATTGATGAAATTAATTATTTTCAACCATCAAGTTAACTGATAAATAAATATCTGTTAAGGTTACTTACTTTAATTTTTTAAATTTATGGGACACTCCAATAAAAATTATTAACAAACAAATTGATGTCACTATGGTTAAACATATAGCTGAAAGGTTTTTGAAGGTTTCATATTAAATTAAATATGTGAATTTAGAATATAAAAATTAATAAATATATTTAAGTTATTTAGAAAATACAAAAATGTTCTAAAAGTTTGAATTACAGATGATAGTTTATTTAATATGCATTATAAGAAGTTCTTAACTTAGTCACAAAAAACTATATAGTATGATACAAAATAAAAACTTGTTTATCCTAACTTTTGATAGATTAGATCCAATTTGAATCAATGAAAATCTAGATAAGTTTGTTAGGATGAAGAAATACACATGACCAAAACTTAAGGACACACAACAGTTCTACATGAATAGAGAGAACTGTAGTTTAATGCAGACAAATATGGCAGGAACTGTAATACTTGATGTCTAAGAGGATAATACACAATTTATAGGATTTTATAAATAAGTCTGTGGTGAAAAAGATAATACAGCAATGGACGCAATGGACATTGGTAAGCAATTTTTATCCATTCTCTACCTATGCCCAGACAGAGACCTGTCAATATGGAATATGCATTTTCTTCTTTGTTCACAAATCTATACAAGTTGCCACTGGCTTAGTGAAAAAACACAATTGCTTGCTTGTTCTTCAGTTTTGGATACGTGTAAGTATGCTTAGTATAAAATAAAGATAACAGTTTAGATTTTATTGTTTGATATGTTATTATTAACATTAAAGCTAAGAATGAATTAGTGTTTAATAAAGAAACCACAAATACTGTTTTATTTAAAACTCAATAGACATATATTAAAACTAACTGCATTTTTAATTATTCAAGCAGCTAGAGCTGGATTAAATTGAACTATTATAGAGTTAGTTAAAAAGTGATTAAACAATGTAATTTTTTACTAATTAGTCTTATGTCAGCTACAGTTTGAATAACTCACTTATTCTTCTGAGATAGAAGCATAAATTATCTTCATGTCAAATTATCATTTGTTTTTTTTTTTCTAATATTACTATGCTTTTATTGCAATCTCAGTAAATAGAAATTTTGGGTAATTGCAATTAAGATAAATTAATATTCTTTTGCAAAATTAAACTAAAATTTAATTTTTTATGTTTGGAAAAAAGTAGTTTTTTGTGACTAATTGTTGCTATATTTAAACAAATATATAACAAAAAAGGACTTACCAATGAAATTAGAGGCTATATTTGGTACTTCTGCAAAATGAACTTATTAGATACTGAGTAATAGTAATAAATACAAATTATAATCATACTTACCATGACAATAAAAATTTGTATAACTCCAAGAACCATTCTGTAGACAAATAGAGAATGATTGACCCACTTCTCTGTATCCCTCATTGCATTTGTAAGAGGCAATTCTATTTGGCACTCGATTAATAAATTTAACTTTTCCATTTGTTATCGACAGCAAATTTGAACATTCAGTATCTGTTAAATGAAGAACGTGAACAACAATATGTATTTAATAACACTGAACTAAAGATAACATATAGTCACATGTCAGTAACAAATTATTTTAAAAATTATGTAATTATTATGGTATGCTAAAATCTTTAAATTACATACATTCACAGGTTCTTCCAATCCAAGCATTATCTTCTCCACAGTAAATGACTGACTGTTGATCTAATATGGAATTATTGCAAAGGACAATAGCTGCTGTTCCATAAATTGCAATTTCAGTTTTCATGGGTGGTTCATATCTTAATAGAGTTGCATTCTTTAATGTTGGTAATGGACATGAATAATCTACAGGATCTTAAGAAAAAATCATTTATTTCTTTTTGATTTATATTAATATAATCATATCTATTAAAAATTTATTTGAAAATTGGAAAAGCAAAGAATATTCAAGTACAAACGAAAACATCATTGAAGCAACTATGCATTTCCTAAATATAGATATTTACATTTGCTGACATATAAGATGAGCCTCATTTTTAGACAATAGTTTTGGGGGAAAAAATGCATCTTAAATGCTGGCAAATACTGTAATTTAATTAATCTTATAACTCAAAAAAACAATTCACTTCTTTGAACTCATGTCGTTCAGAAAAATAGTCATTATAAATTGTATAGTCTTCACATTGAAAAAGTCTGTTTTCTGTTAAAGTTTTGTTAAAGATGTTCTGTTTCTGTTTAAATAATATATGATGTATTCTATAAAAGGCATCTTTATCAATTTTTATTTTTTTGAGTGCATCTTGTTCTACAGAGCAAGAAGAGTATTTAAGAAAGGAAAATGGCTCGATTGGTTAAAAATTGAATATGAATTTTCAAAACACTACAAAGTTGAGAAAAACAGCTTTAAAGCTTTTCTTCAAATTTTGAAGAAAAATACTTTTAAAACTACATTTAAATTAAGAAACTTTGTTATTTTGTTAATTTGTACTGACGCCTAACAAATGCAAACCTCTAAAAATCAACAATTTAAACTTTAATCACATTTTTTGCACTTTGATGAAATTTACTTTTCCAACTTAAGGTACTTCCTCCTCATACATAGCACCACATTTATTGAAAATTAAACAGTGAAGATTAACAATCAGATGACTGATGTAGTAAAAAGCCCAGCCTGCTGCACTCTAGTTCAAAATCTAGTTGAAAATTCAATTCTTTATGAATGGTTTGATTTAGGTAAGTCAAAACTTGTCTTTCACTGCCCAGCTACCCATTCACTATAGACCTGACTAAACTTATCATGAGCACAAAACTGACTTCCAAAAATTGGAACGTTAGAACGATGTTGCTCAACTTTAAACGTTCGGAAATTACCTTAAAGTTCAATTACTGGTTAAAAAGGTTTTATACTGGTATGTGATAACTTACTGGAGTGAGTAAATAAACTGAGAAGAAGACTGTTATAATTATATTCTGTTTTATATTACATATTTATGTTTATTTTTTAATAATTTAGACTAATTCATTGCATTACCTATAACAGGAAATATTTGCACTGTGCAAATTTGAATATTTTCAGATAAGTGAACCACAACAATTTCTGCTAATTTCTTCTTTGGTAGACGATACAAAGGTAATTGGCATTCAGCCAAGAATGATGTATCTAGAACAGTGAAAATAATTTATTTTTCAAATTATAAATTTCACTTTTATATAAAAAATAGAATAAAAAGAATTTTCAATTATATTGATCTTACTTGAGAAGAAAACAAAGTTAAAATTGCAGTTACTGTTGTTAGCAAATATTTGAAGGTCTCCTGGTTTCTTTCCTGCATAATATCAAAATTTTATATAATAATCATCCTCAATCAAGCATAGCAATGATAATTTTATAAAAACAAAATCTTTACCAAGTACATGAAGTCTGAAAATTGCACTTTTATATTTTCTGTCATAATTAAAACTTAGGCTAAAAGTGGTCTTGTTTATACTGCAATTTGACACATTTCCATTACTCTCTACTTTTTGAGAATCAATATATACTAACGAAAGGCTTTTCACTTGAAAAATAATAAATATAATTTTTTTTAAATTATTCTTTATAAATCAAATTAACAATCAATAATGAAACTGAACACTTAATTGTCCATTCCTACCACAAAAAGCTGCTTCATTGTCCCATGTTCCATCTTGTAAACATTTTCTTTTATCTTTACCAAATTTATAGTAGCTGTGATAGCAAGAATACGAAATTGTTTCATTTTCTTTATACTGTATTTTGGATGGAGAATAGTAACCTCCAAAAGGTTTTACAGGAGGTAAGCATATATTGCTATATACTACAGAAATAAAAAAGTCAAAAATTAAAAATTTTATTATAGTCTGTAAACAAATTATATAATAATTACAATTATAAATAAATTGCAGTGTTAAAGAGCATGTATTTGATAAAAGCAAAGTTCTTTTGCTCGGATAGATCAGTTGAATCCTCTTCATTCTGTCTGTTTAGGCTGAACTATCCAGTAGAAAAAGTTTAGTTAAAGGATGAAAATTCAAAGAAATTCAGATTTTGCTCATTTGTATTTTTGTTCTGTTTGATTTCACTGAAGAATTCTATATATCTATATTAAAAAATCTTTGCTTTTTTTTAACTGTAAGCTCATTAAAGTTGCAATTTAGTTATTATTGTAATTATTAGAGAAACATACAGCATACAAAAGAAATCATATAAAATGAGGTTTACATTACTCATTATTTATCCCCAATTATAGTCATTATTAGTCATAATTTTATCCCCAATTATAACACCAAGCAAAAGGGTCATCCTGTGTATGGAGTATTCTATTCATTATAAATTGTGTATTTAAAAACATATTAATATTTTCTATTTTTAATTATTTTAGTTAAAAAAAATGAGTTTAAGCTTATTTCCAAATAGATAAATGAGATTTTAAATAATGACTTAAAAGTGTAGGCTATTCTGACAAAACGAATGTACCTTATTTTAATATTAAAAGATCAAAGAATAGAAAAGATTAATGGAAAATAACAAAATATATTCTATTTTGTCATTTTGTAGATTTATATTTATACAAGTAAAGTAGCTACTGATGTTAATTTTATTCTTATACTTATTTATTTTCTTTTTTAGGATCTTTTTCAAGGTAAAATATTTGATCTTGAAAACCTTTTATAGATACATAAAATAGATAAAAGCAAAAAGCAGGATTGGAAATTATATATTTTTGTATTGTCTTTATTATTATACCATAAAACCTGTAAAGATTGAATATTTATGTTATATTGCTTTTTTGTCAATACTTTGATGTCATTTTTCCATAATTTGGTTATAGTAATCCTATGTTACCATATACAGCCCCTGGCAAAAAGTATTTGAATATCATATAAGAAAATGTAATGTTTGAAAAGAAAAATAATAACCCAATGAATAAAATGTATAGGTGTTTATTACTTTAATTTCAAATGAATAAACCAAACCATTTTCCTAAAAAAGAATTTTTATATAAAGCAGTTTTTAAACATATAGGAAGCTGGGAAAAAAGTATTCTAACATCAACATTTATAAAAGGTTCATGCCTCACCAATGAGCTGGCCAAGTGATGTTTTCCTGGTTTTTTTTTACATTTCTAACATCTAAATAGGAGTNAAAATGTAATGTCTGTCGTATCCAACTACATAGTGCTGTTTTTATTGTGTTTAAAGTCACTTAGATTTTACAAATAGGTGAGCCGTTCACAGCCCGGCACACGCATTTGTAAAATCTAAGTGACTCATACAACATGGAATTCATATAAAACAGAATAATCAACAGTGTTATAGGGGGGTCGACTGTAGTAATTAATTTCTTTTTATTTATTTATTTATTTCATATTTGCAGACTAAAAATTTACAGGTCACAAGGTGTCAATTAACTACTATGGCCCGCAGAAAAAATGTAAAATTTATTCTGGCCCATGTTATAAAAAAGGTTGCCCACCCTTGCAGTAGTCAATGGTCAATGACAATGACTTTCATAGAACCTCAGATAATATTTCCATCTTTGTTTTTCCCCCTTTCTTTCTTTTACAGAATAAAGTTGGACAAAGCTAAATAAAGAGAATAGCAAGGATATAGAATTGACATCAGAACTACTCAAAAATTTCAGTTTTAGCAGCTGTGATGCTCTGACATTATTGAAAAATAATATTTTCTTTCAACTGTTTTAATCTAGTAATTAAACCAGTCATAAAATCAGTTTATACGAAAAACAGTATAACTCTCATTTTCTATTTTTGAATTATTTAAGTTTTTGGTGGAAAAGTCATGAAACAAACCATTTATATTACTATAAATATGAAGTTAATAAAAGAATCACAGTTCAAAGCTTGAAGTCTGTGACTGGTATACAATTCAAAGAACCAAAATGAAAGATGTCAGTTGTTATCCAATAGAATTTAAGAAACTATCATCTAATTAAAAGGAATGTAGAGTGAGTTGAAGATGTAATCATTAAAATAGACGATCTAGACAAAACAGGTAAGATTAAGTACATAGATAAACTCATTGTTCATTCCAAATACATTCATTCCAGCAAGATTATTATATATGTTATATAACAATCATTATTTCTCAGTTTCTTCTATAAACAGAACAGTTGAGAGGAAAAGTTGAGAACCTTTCTCCTATCTGAGGAGGCCAGTAGTGATTTCTATCCCTATAAATTAATGTTATTTTCATTGTCAAGCAATAAAATATTTAAGACTGCTATTTATTAATAAAAAAACATTTGTTCAAAGAAAAGAAAAAAAGCAAAAAAGGCAAAAGAGCCCACTAAGAGGCAAAAGAAACTTCCTATACCTAGGGTGACCAGTCAAAGTAGGACATTTGAAGTTTTATAACGCTTCCCAGTAGGACATTTCACAACACAGCTTAAAATAAAAATCAGTAGTAAAAAAAGCACAAAACACTAAAAATTGATAAGTAAATAATTTTAAATTGATATACTACTCTTGTTGTTTTAAATACTACTCTTTGTTGCAATTGTACCCATTATTTAATATAAAAATATGAAAAGAAAAGTTTATTGTTATTATTAATGACTACCTATTGCCCCAGTAATAGTTGCAGTATCTGTGAAAGTAGGACATTTCCATTAGGCGGTAGGACATAGGACAAAAGGTTTAATTGTAGGATATGTCCTCCCACAGTAGGACGAGTGATCACCC